CGTGTGTGTGACTGTGGAGGTCAGAGATTAAAGTCAAACTTCTTTCTCGGTTCCTCTTAACTATTCTTCCCTGCCGGTGTCTTCACTGAGCCTGGAGCTCACTGATTGGCCAGGCTGGCTGGTCAAGCTTCGGGGAACTGACTATTGCTACCCTCCCACCCCAACCCCCACCCTAGCACTGGATTGCAGCCTGTGCATCTATATCCAACTTTCAGAATCTGACTATGTAGCCCTGGCTGGCCCAGAACTTGCTGTGTAGGCAAGGCTAGCCTCAAACTCACAGAGCTCTCTCTTCCCCTGCTTCCCAAGTGTTGGGATTAAGGGTTTGTGCCACTGGGGCTGGCTTTGTACACGTCTTCTCGGATTCTCTTGCTTGTGTAGCAAACACTTTACCTACTAAGTCATTTCTCCAGTTCCTTTTTCTTTTCTCATAAAAAGAAATGTTATTATTATCCACGTCAGAGGACATCTTTTGAGAGTCGGTTCTTTCCTTCCACCGTTGGACCTACCAGGAACTGAATTTAGGTCATGGGACTTGCATGGCAGGCACTTTTACCTGCTGAGCCATCTCAGTGTCCCTTTGTCCCCTTTATTCTTCTGTGGTGGTGCTAGAGATGGAACCCGAGGCTTCAGACATAATACATGCTACATGATCTGCACTGGGCTGCAGCACCATCATGCATGAGCTTTTGGAATGTTGAGGAAATTAAACATGAACATACAGACCATGTAGATATGCACACCTGTACCTGAGTCACATACTTGCCTTACCTGTTTACATGCAACCACACCCTCCTGCCCACATTTGCATCATCACTACTTACACACAGACAGTATGTAAACACATATATCATGCATTCACACACATGAACACCTACAAATGCATCACGCACACAAATGTGTTAAGGGCACATTCCAGCAGGAGTCATGGGGACAAAGAAGAGGCAGATGGGCCAGTGATGACAGCAGCCCATATGGACCTTGGAAAGTGTTGGGGCACCTGCTATGGTGTGCTCTCGGCCTCTCGACACCTATCTTGTGTACCCTATGGCATCTACATCTCTGCCTACCATACCTCATTTCCCCAGCCCCAATATAGAGAGGGGCTGTCACATCAGGCAGGGGAGTGGGTGTGGCCCTGCTGCCCTGTGAGCATGCCTGGGGAGTCCCACGCACATCTCTTCCTGCCTGATGTCTCCTTGGGGCGCTGGGGATGAGCAGCTTCTGACATGTTGAGCAGGAGATTGCTTTTCCCCTCCTGCTTCTGAGACTCGCTCCTAAGACTTTAATTGCAGAAGGCTCTGGGGTTGGAGAGTGCGCAGGTGTGAGTGACGGCAGCTCTCGGAGCCTGGCAGGGCTGAGCCAGGGAAAGGGTTATGCAGGGAGGTTTGGTAGGGTGGGGGTGGGACGTTATGAGCCGGGATCAGCCCTGTCACTGAACTCTTGTGTGTTCTCAGCAATCCCTGCCCCCAGACCTCAGCATCACACGGTGCCCATTAGGGGTCTTCCTCAGCCTCTCCTCTGTCACTGTCATGAACACCCCCCTCTGCTGTGAGCTGTGCTAGGCTTGGCTATACAGTGTCATCGGCAGGTCCAGCCTGTGCTGGGCACTGTGGGCATTTGTATGGGCATCCAGAGGCCACCTAGCCCTGGGGACTGCTTTGTTCTGGGTTTCCTTTCATGCCTGCACCCTCCCCGGCCATCAGCCACCAAGTCTTTCCCACTGGCTTCAAAACTTGTTACCTGAGGCTTCCTACCTACCCTTCCCTGTAAACTCCAACCATAGACTCTGTAAACAGTACTAATAGCAACCGTAGAAGTGCTTTGAGAGTACAGGAGCAGGGGCTGGAGCCCGGGCCTAGAACCACAACAGTACCATAGAGTCTCATAGGCCTTGTCCCAGTAGAGGGGGAACTTGGGCCCAGACTCTGGATGCCTAGTGTAACCAGAGGGCACTGTCCCTCCTCACAGTAGGTAAGTGTCATGCTCACACCCACAAGTGATCATCACAGCAAGGGTGACCTAGCTAAAGCCCCATTGGCATCCACAGTAACTGGCGGGACCTCTCAGAACTCCAGCCTGAGACTCCCTTCCCTGACCAAGAGACTGCAGGCCAGAGACCCCTTCCACCCACCAGGTGCTCCTTGAGCCAGGCTCGGACATTCCGGCCCCTTGTGCAGCCAGGATCCGTACCCGTCCTCATGGGCCCAGTGAATCTCATTTTGACTGACACCCAGACAGCTTTGTGCTGTGAGCTGCAGCCCTCGGTAACCAGGACCTACTTGCTGAGCCTGAAGGGAACTGCGGCTCAGAAGGGAGGGGTCAGAGAGGACCAGAGCCTCCTAATAGAACCGGCTGAACAACCCAATGACAACAGAAATCATACTGAGACCAGAGAAAGAGCTGGTGCTCCTAGTGCTGTCCCAGGTGGGAGCAACCACAAGTCCTCCTGAAATGAATGAAAACAGGAAATCTCAACAAACACATAATTACACAAAGAACCAAAGGAAATGATAAACCAGGTTTGATAGTCCCAGTCTCACTACGGCAGAGCAGAGGTGACCGGGCCCAGGACCCCTCAGGTCAGAGGGAAACGACCCACGAAGCCTTGGGAAATAGCGGGCACAGCGTGTGCGCATTCAGGGTCCTAAATGCAGAGAAGAGCAAGGCCAAAAGAACACTAGAGGGGCCGGGCGGTGGTGGCACACGCCTTTAATCCCAGCACTCAGGAGGCGGAGGCAGGTGGATCTTTGTGGGTTCAAGGCCAGCCTGGTCTACAAGAGCTAGTTCCAGGACAGGCTCCAAAGCTACAGAGAAACCCTGTCTCAAAAAACAAAACAAAACAAAACAAAATAAATAAATAAATAAATAAATATAAATACTAGAGGGACAGTAGGTGCTGTGTGGGTAAAGGGGCTTGCTGTGAAGGCTGGCTACCTGAGTTCAATCCTAGGAACTGAAACAAAGGTAGAAAGAGAGAACTGACTCCCCAAAGTTGTCCTCTGACCTAGACACACGCACACGCACACACACACACACAAGTGGGGGAGGCCAGAAACCTGAATGGCGCAAAGACTTGCCCACTCCACTCCAGGAAGTAAAACGTCAACGCAGTCTGCCACCAATGTCTTTGTGATACCCAGGCCGGGCATGTAGCTCAGGATGGGATGGTGAGTTTGCCCATCAGGGAAAAAAAAAATCTGGGTTCCACCCCTGGAACCAAGGGAGAAAAACCAGGAGACCTAGAAACGCTATAAAGAGGACACGGATGGAAACATTCGAGGTCGTTATAACAACATGAAGATGGGGCTAGGCTGGGACTGGGACACGGATGGAAACATTCGAGGTCGTTATAACAGCATGAAGATGGGGCGAGGCTGGGATTCAGTTGGTGGAGGGCTAGCCAGCAGCGCCTAGCCAGCAGCGCCTAGCCAGCAGCGCCTAGCCAGCAG